TTATAGGGTTATTCTTTGCTCTCCTTTCCCTTTGCTTTTCCTTTCTTCTTGGTTTCCTTTTGATGTTCTGTCCTCTGGTCCTTGTTAACTTCGTTCCTGTCTCCTTTTTTTTGGTCTGTTTTTTCTTTTTGGTTTTCCGTTACTTCTGTATTTTATGTGTTGCCTGCTTGTCCCTGTAATCGATCGTCTGTTGTTTCAGATTTTATGAAAAGTTTTGATGTTTTTTTCCTCCCTCGCCATGCCTTTTTCCTTTTGATGCAAATGATCGTGATGTATTATGTTACGGTGATGTTAATTTCCTTTGTTTCTGGTTGGTTATTTGATTTTTGTACGGAAAGAGCAATAAATAAAAATAAACAAACAAACAATACCAATAATGATGATTTCGAATAAAAATGCAAGTTTATTTTTGGCAAATTAGCGGACTCATTGCTACAAAAAAAAATATAAATTTCAGAAAAAAAATAAAAGTTTGTTTATTTTTATTGAGCCGGCTGATGACTTGAAATCTCCAAAACACATTACGACACTGTTTACTCACCAATAAAGTTATATCTTTATTTTCTCCCCCGTCTGGATGTTCTTGGCAAAATATATGCTAAATAAGACAACTAAACTATTTTTATTTTTCCGCCCTCCTCTGACGATCTTTAAAAAAATAAGTTCTCGAAACAAGGTAGGCCTATAAAGAAAGTCTCGCCTTACATCATAAAAATAATAATTGAACTGAAATTGTATTTTAATGACTTAATCAAACCAAGAAAATTTACTTACTTCCTCTGTCCATTTCAATAAATCAACTCTGTAATGCAGAAATTTAATGGTAATACAGTATAAAGTAGTTCTTATACCTGGCTGTTCGTAATAACACCACGAAAAGTAAAATGCAAGATCCTTTTTTGTCAATTGTATTTAGAGGCCTCGGGAGTAAGCCTAACCTTGCAATATGTAAATTTCAATTAAAGTAGGCCTAACGTATTTGACTAATCAGAGAATGATGTTTTTAGTGGGCGTGATTTTCCCATCCAGGACATTTTACATTATCATACGCTTCCATTGATTCATAGGAATTCATAGGAAGTAAGAATGTAAGTCACAAGTGAATTAATGTTTCAGACGCCTTGACAAATTAAAAATTGTGGTTTAATATGCGAAAGGAGGGCAATTAATTTGAAAACAGACTGCACTTGTCAACCATCGTTATGCGTGCAAATAAATGAAATGTATTAATTACGCTCAGTCAATATTTTATGCTTGATAGGCGATGTAAATACTTGGTTGAATCCCTATGATACACATTACAATACTTTAAATGATTCCTGAAAAAATGTTTTGCATCGACAGGCACACATACACCCAAAGCTGTGAGCAATAGAAGCAATAATAACAGGCAAATGTAATCACGGAGAAACATTTCTGAACTAGAGCAGTCACTCCAGAATATATACTCCTCCACCCTGTGCTGGATATCGAAAGATTCGCAGGCCGTGAACGATCATTTTCTGTTATGCTCAAGGGTATGTTAAAGAGAAAAAGTCTAATTTCAGTGACCTTGCCCTTGAAATATTGTTCCCAATTATCTCTTTTTAAATTACAGTATTGTATATGTAAAATTTTTAAATTTTGATAATCCATTCATTTTTTTTTTTTGCTAAAAGACAGACAGACACCAGACACAGAGAATAGACGGACAGACCAACCGACAGATAGATAGACGTGAGTGGTGAATACATAACCCCGATCCTTGGCTGAGGCAATAATATTATTATAAAGATAACAAACATGTGTTAGTCCGGGCTGCAGAAAGTGGGCATTTGGAAGGGTATTTAATTAGAGTTAGACCTATGTACGTACTTCTGATGCAAAGATAAAAGAATTTAATAGGCTTATCATTATTCTGGACCGATTTTACACCTAAATCTAAATAATGCAGAAAGTAATGAGTATATTTTTTTTAATAAAAGAGTAAAATTTTAAACTTGAAAGAGTAAAATCAAGCGGAACACTCTTGACTATCGTAGTAGCTGGTTGCGGCATTGTTTACAACCATCCACAGTGTCATAACACTGTCAAAACCGGCGTGCCCAGGCGCGTATCGCACAGATGGTGGGGTAGCAGGCCCGTAGGGAGGACAGAGGCAGAGGATGCAGACCGCTTCCCATCCACCATTAATTAAATGTTCAAATTTTTAAAAAACTATTATTTCGCTTCTAGTTATCAAGAATTGCTATGCATTGTATTTTATTTGTCAGCTCTTTTAACCGTAAGTAATTTCTAGGGCAGCTGTCAATGCGAGCGTTATATCCATTAGACCACAGAGGTTTCATGGTTGAAAAGACCCAAATACCGCCAGATACACTCCATTACACTATAGGTACAGCTGGAAAGGTTTTTAACCAGGTTGGAGGTGGTGGGTGTTCAAAAAACACTAACAAAACGTGCGTGCGATATTAATTGGTTTAGAAATAGGCCTATGTTTTCAACAAATATTTTGTAGTGCATCCACCGTGGCATGAAGCCTGCGTCAATACCCGAAGAAAATTGAATGCATTCAAATGATCCCAAGATATGGATTCAAGGATACCAAGAAATTAATGGTTTTGGCTTGATGTGAAAAGGAAATCTTTACTTCTCCTACGATACAGAAAATCTTGAACAATCAAACAGAATGTTATATATATTTTTAAAGAAGTTTTATAGTGCATTATGCACTATCAAATGCCTTTAAAAATCGTTACGTTAATCTATACATGACTTGTTTTGTCTTCTATCTTCACCCATGCATAAATGTTACCACACCATGTATATAGCAAAGTAATAAATAGCAGAAGATAGAGCAGCTTCCCAATATAGTGGAACATCCGTTCGAAATGCATTGTGGGTACCCGGAGATCAATTTTATCCGGTACGCGCGGCGGCGCTATACATCAATAAATAAGTAAATAAATAAATAAATAAATAAAGATGCCACTCTGGTTCGTTTGTTTCCTGTAGTTTCTCCACTAAGTGAAATGGTCAAATCTTACGGCGCTCGCGAATTTTTTTTTTCTGGACGTTTGAGGCAGTAAAGATTGGTTGCGCTATAGATTCTACGTAACTAGAGTTCCTAATAGACTCTAGACATAACGCCTCCTTGATGCAATGAATATTTATAGAGTTTCCTGCCGCTGTTTGCACGTCGTCCAGTGTTAAGCGATATATCCGAGGCTCGAGTAGGCATCATGCAACACCGACTATTCTTACTGTAGTAGGCTAGTTTTCTTATAATGAAGAGTATAGTTGAACGCCCACAGACTTTAACCCTTTTTTAAAAATTATTAACAGAACATGTCTAAAAATAAATAATAATTAGGCTATTATCTACAAAATTATAAACATTGTTACGGCCTTTGTTTGCACTCACGCGTACTTTGTATTATGCACCGACATAAAAACTTACAGGAAATGAAATGTGTTTCACTTGACGTAAATGCACAAGTATATAAACCTACGGAATGATGTTTGCCCTACCTGACGCAGTATATGTACTGAATGCTCAGTACATTCTTAAAGTCAGGCTCCAGAGGAAAAAAATTAATATGTTTTAGCACTGATTTTTCTAAGACAGAAAAAAGTTGTCTGACGAAAAACTGGGGAGCGGTGAATAAGATACACATTTTTGAATATTTAAAAACTGGGGGGAAAAGGGGCGTAACCACCCTTTTTACACCTTTTTCCCTCCAGTTTTTAAATATTCAAAAATATGTTTTCCCCCAGTTTTTAAATATTCAAAAATCTGTATCTTATTCACCGCTCCCCAGTTTTTCGTCAGACAACTTTTTTCTGACCAGACCCTTTTTTATTTGAGGTACTACATTTAACCGCAGGCTAGGCCATCTGAATAGGCCTATATTGAAAATAAGGGTTTTTATAAATGAACACATAAGATGAAGGATCAAATTGCAGAAATCACACTTGGTCAAATATCCTGTTCATATGCAAATTAGCTTAAATATGCAAAAAAAAAAGTTATTACACCCCTTTTTTAATAAATCACTACTTTAACGGTAGGCTACAATCTGAACATATTGCAAACAAGGCTATTCTTTTATAAATGAACATCTGTGAGGAAGGGATAAAATTGCAGAAACACCATGGTCACATGTCCTTATCATATGCAAATTATTTAAAATATGCAAAAATAGAGCTACGCCGCTTCTTTTATTTATCTAGATGAGTAGATAAAATTTCAGATATCACACCGTGGTCACATTCCTTGTTCATCTGCAAATTACCTTAAATATTTCATCATACACCTCTTTAAAACACAGGCAAGACAATCTGAACATTTTTCAAACAAGAGGGTTTTTTTTTTTTTTTATATAAATGAACACATTATGAGGAGATGAAATTTTAAATTCACACCGTGGTCACGTGTCCCATTCACATGCAAATTAGCTTAACTATGCAAAAAATATGGGTCACGCCCCTTGATTTTTTAAAGTGCTACCTTAAACAATAAGCTAGACAATTTGAATGGGACTTGTGATTAAGGTGACATTTCTGAAATGTGATCCCCTTATCATATGTGTTCTTTTATAAAATAAAAACTCTTGTTTGAAATATGTTAGATTGTCCAGCCTACTGTTTAAAGTAGCGCTTCAAATTAAAAAAAAGAGGCATGACCCCTATTTGCATTTGAACGGGACTACTGTGAGCATAGTGTGATTTCTAAGAATTGTATATAGAAAAACCGTTGTTTGCAATATTTCCATATTATCTAGCCTACTGTTTAAAGTAGCACTTTTAAAATAAAAAGGGATGTGGCCCCATTGTTTGCATATTTCAAACAAACATGTTACCACGGTGTGATTTCTGAAATGTTATCCCCTTATCATATGTGTTTACAAAAGAAAAATCATTGTTTGCAATACTATTTGATTATCTAGCCTACTGTTTAAAGTAGCACTAAAAATAAAAAAAGATGCGTGGCCATCATTTTTGTGCATATCTAAGCAAATCTGCATATGAACAGGACAAGTGACCATGTAAATCATGTGATAATTGCAATTGAATTATTTCTGCTATATTTCTATACTATTATTTACACCTGTGGTATTAGCGTATGAACTTCTACTGGAGGCTTATTAAGTCTATTGTTTATAATTTTAATCGCCGTTCAGTGTTGAGGAACGCCTTCGTTCTTGCTGTGTTCAGGTAATATTGAGGACTTTGCTCCATATGTTGCTTTTATAATAGCGTCGGGTTTGTCGTAACTATGATAGGCCTCTCGCACTTTTAATTAGCCTAGATTGTAATTTTAATAGTTTTACTCTCGAAGAAAATGCCGCATTGTGCTGCCTTTCACGAGGCTAGTTTGGGGCGGCTCAGAGCATTTGCAGGAGGTTGGTCCAGAAAGAAAAGGAACACTCCTGCATGTGTAAGTGACAAGTTCAAATGACGTGGGGAACCATCTTCTGACTAGTCACTCTCCCATTATTTGAGAGAATTATGTAGGCCTAAGTCAAAAATAATAATAGATTAGCTTAAAAATTATTCCTAAAAATGAACCCCCTACCAATGCCGTAGCCAGCTATTGGGACAGTTGGGACAGTCCCACACAATTTTCAATCGGTCCACAAAGAATGGGACCACATTTTTTAAAATGGGTCTAAATCATGCTGTTTTATTCAAAAAATGAGCCCGTTTTTAGAAAAGAATGGTCTGGATTTCAATATTTTGCTTGGATTTAGTAAACTTTTAGACAATGGGTCCACATTTTTCATATTTTTTTGCGTAAAATGGCTCCACATTATTTGAATTTGCACGTAAAGTGGGTCCACCTATATATTGTCTTGCTATAGACAGATGAAAATGCGCCGGTTTACTGGCTGCTGAAGACACGAAGTGACCCTTAGGGGAGGAGAAAGTCATTGTAAGTGCAACATCTAGTTCCGAGCGCATAGAGACCATGTATTATGCGCTATATAAGTCTCCAACCATTACCATTACCATTATAGTTTTTATGTTGGTATAGTATATACAATGTATGCGCGAGAGGTTAACACACTCTTAAAAAAAGCCCTACAGCTGGATATATATAGGTTAATGAATAGGCCTAATAGGCCTACTACTACTGTCCCAATGCCGTAGCCAGCTTTTGGGACAGTTGGGACAGTCCCACACAATTTTCAATCGGTCCACAAAGGATGGGACCACCTTTTTAAAAATGGGTCTAAATTATGCTGTTTATTCAAAACATGAGTCCGTTTTTTGAAAAAAGAGTCTAGATTTCTCATATTTTGCTTAAAATTAATAAACTTTTAAGACAATGAGTCCACATTTTTCATATTTTTTGCGTAAAATGGGTCAAATTTTAAGAAAATGGGTCCACATTATTTGAATTTACACGTAAAGTGGGTCCACCCAGATATTGTCCTGCAAGTGTTTATGTTGGTATAGTATATACAATGTATGCACTAGAGACAACACACTCTTTAAAAGAAAGGCTCTACAGTATTTATAATTTTATAGATAATAGCCTAATATTATTACTGATTTTAGACATGTTCTGTTGTAATAAAAAGGGTTTAAACTGTGGGTGTTCAGCCATACTTTTCATTATAAGAGGTCGTACTACTCAGTAAGACTGTTACCGGCACTCGACCCTTGGATAAATCACATAAATCCTGCAAACTGCGGCAGGAAGCCATCATAAATATTCATGAGATCAAGGAGGCGTTACGTCTAAGCCTGGTTCTCACGAGAGCCCTAGTATCCGGATCGGCAGCTAACCGTAAGTGCTAACCGTTAGCACCTGCGTGAGAACGCCCGAACCGAACCGAGCAGTATCCGAATACCGCTAACGGTTAGCAAGCGCTATCGGTTGGCAAGTTGAGCGCGTTTTTATCATCACCCAATCATACGTACGCGTTTACAATTTCCAGTTTATTATTGGCCAGTGATTCGATCATCATATTTTTGGTATCCGGATCGGGATTTTCTGGTATGGACGCACGGCAGCTAACGGTAGCAGGATCCGGATACTGCTAACCGTTAACAGTCGTGTGAGAACATAGCCTGAATCTACAGAACAGCTGATCACTGAGGCTGACACAAACTTGAAAACAGCGCATGCGCTAAATACGTTCTATAAGGATGATTATGAATAATTCATAAGATTTTATCAAACTATCCTACGTTAAGCTCTATCCACACTATCAAATTTTCTTTGACAAAAAAAATGTGACAAGCCCATATATAGTAATGCTATGCCTATATATGGTCATGGTGTGGTGTCATCATGCCCATATATGGGCATATCACACTTTTTTGTCACACAAAATTTGATAGTGTAGACAGAGCTTTACGCAAATTCGGCTTCCTCAAACGTAAAGTAAAAAAAAAATTCTTTGGCCGCCAAGAGAGGAACCAATGCCGTAGCCATCTATTGGGACAGTTGGGACAGTCCCACACAATATTTCTGATGGGTCCACAAAGAATGCGTCCAAATTTAAAAATGGGTCCAAATTATGCAATTTAATTCATAAAATGAGTCCACTTTAAATGGGTCCAGGTTTCTCATATTTAGCCTAAAATGGGTAAAATTTAAAGAAAATTGGTCCAGATTTTTCATATTTTTGCGTAAAATGATTCAACTTTTAAGAAGCTGGGTCCACCTTTTATGAATTTATGCGTAAATTGGGTCCACTCTGATACTGTCCCGCACTGTTTGAAAATCTTGGCTACGGCATTGAGGGGAACCTGTAACGTGGGCAAGGGTTGGTGTGGGTCCCCAGTTACGAGCGCGAAGAGCGAGAAAGTTGTGCATAAGGCACAAATTATTTTGGTGAGTGGGGCCCTGTCAATCTGGAAGGGCCCATATGGGGGAACCCATCCATTATTCGGGGCCTATGACAGTAATGTGCAAATTACAATTTTCTTGTGAAAGTTTAATATACTGTACATACATAACAATGGGCTGAAAGGTTCAAAAGAGCTTTCTTTGTTCTTGTAGGTAGCTTTGATCAGTAGGGTAAGAATACTTTGATCTTTAGTTTATTCCTACTAGGGGTAATGGTTTGATTGGTCAAAGACTTTTGGTACTTGTGCATATAAGCTTGCAAATATGGATAATTTTTCATTCCTGATGATGACATAATTAATGTCGAAATATTGAATCCCGACACGATGGCGTGCATTTCGATACTTGGAGTATGTATTATACTATCGTACATACATAGTGGGCCGCAATATCACCAATGAGGTACTGACAATTTCCGACAAGATCCAGGGGTGATGCCTTAGTGGTGTAAACCTAGTGCCCAGAGGAAGTGAGTAATTTTGGCCAATTGTGCTATTCTGAGAGATTTGGGACATAAACCAACCCAAACCCCCTCCCCCACCCTCCTTTTTTATTTTATAATTCATGTTTAATCAGACAAGAAGTGTCATTCCGACAAAAGACTTAAGTCGCACGCCACCACTCAACCCTCGCACCCTCCTCCCCACTCGGCTCAGGCTCATACGCCGCCACTGCAGGAGCGGATCCAGAAATTTTCTGACGGTGGGGCCCCATAGGTATTCGGTATTCCACAACTACATCAGCCCCACCATACAGGGGCGGATTTTTCTTTTGGGAGGTAAAAAAAAAGAAATAGAAATAAATATTGATTGAAAGCAAATAATGATTATGGCACGGAAATGGCACTCATTCGAACTTAAAATTTGAATATTTTATCTACATCTAAAAAAATGTTTGCAAAAGTAGGGGTCCGGCTGGGCAACCCACCCCAACTAGATTAATATGATATATGTCCTACAGTCGATGTCAGTGACACATTATGCTGTTATATATCAACAAAGCCTTTTGGATCAGGATGCTATAGAGCGAGGACCCTACGGGACCCCTCATGGGTAAGGGAACCAAAGGGGCCCCAAAGGCTCGGTGCCCTTCGGACCACCGCACGAGAGCACAAGGCGTTACGCCACTGAGCATGGATAGGTGTTCTCTATCTGGATACTACATTCTGGCTAAAAAACTTCGTCTTTAGGTCTCCGTCTTTTGGCCTTTTCTACATCCTGATTTCTGAAATCATTGGAAAAATTGGCGTACGGGATATTGCGTTGTGTTCGTCGTCAATCAAGAAAATTCAAAATTAGTGACTGGTAAAATAATCGAGCTCTCCTTCCGCCCACTGTTGGAACCCCCACTGAACTCATGGGTACACTTCATCCAACCTCCCGTCTTTCTTTCTTCGCTTTAACTCTCCTCCCCCCCCCCCCCCCGTTGGATTCGCCCTTGCACTGATCTGGCCACAATCTGACAATAATGTACTACTTTTTCACCATTATGTTTCTTTTGTATTATTGTATTATTATAAAAATAATCTATATAATAAAAGAATAGTGTATTTTGTTTATTAATGAAATGTCAAATTTAGATTAAGCGGAGGCGGCCCTTTGCAATAAGGGCAACGGTGATAGTAGGTTGGTCAACAAAAGCCTTACTCAAAACTCAACACGGAAACATTAACTAAATAATATATTTTCGTTTATATTACACAGAGTAACGTGATGGCAGCGGCTTTTGCAGACAAAATAGAAGATGGACTCCAGTGCAACATACATTTGGGTATATTAAAGGATACCAAAATCCTACCATGCCATCATACATTTTGCGAAAGGTGCTTAGATGATTGGATTGCGCAAAAGAAAGGCGTCCTTATATGCCCTTTGTGTAGCACTAATCATGGTCCATTTCCAAATGGAGCGAAAACACTTCCAACAAATTACCAACTCGAACGTGTACTTGAGGTTATGAACACAGAATCAGAGAAGCATGTATGTGCAAGACAAAATCATAAGGTTTTTGCATTCTGTAGCACATGCTTGGAGTGTGTATGCCAAGCATGTCTGAAAAAACATCAATCCCACTCAACTCAAAACCTGGATACAATCAGCCAAGAGCTATCACATAAACAGAAAATCTCGAAAAATTCTCTACAACGAGCACAAGAGGCATATGGCCAGCTGAAACAAAATGAACATATGGAGAAAGAAATGCTGGCTGTCTTTAGAGCACAATGTATAGATGCTGTGAACGCATTTTGTGACAAAGCTGTAGAAGAAATAACAATAGCCGTTGATAAAAAATCCTCGATATTGAAAAAGCAAATGGCTGAATTTGAAGAATTACACAACGAATATAAAGAAGGGGAAACTATTATAAATACCATTTCAAAGGAGTCTGTAGATCCACCAGAAGACGTACAGAAAATGTGGGACCAATTAATGACCATCAAATCTCTATCAAACACATCAATTGGTGTCGAAAATCCTTTCCTCAGATACGAAATCGAGAACCCTTTTAATATCGAAAATATATCCGCTGGCAAGTTGATGCTTGGAACATCTGCAGATGTATCTTTATCGAAGATAGTTGTGAATAGGGATGCCGAATCCGTGGATGCAAGTGTGTATATATCAGTGAATCTGCAAGATTCGCAAAAGCAAGAGGTTTCTTATGGAAAAGAAGATATTGTTTTGAGGGTTATACAGCCCGACTTGTCCAAAGGCAATATTCAAAATACAGACGGCTTGTACGTATTTGTTCCCACAATGATTGGTGATCATAAGATCCACGCTTACATTTATGGAAGAGAATTGTATAATTCTCCCTATGATTTGAGAGTCTCCCCAACATTCAACCAGAAATCAGAAAAATTTGGCAACGTCAAATACAAAGCGGCCCATGACGTGATTGAGTATAAAGATGAAATCTACGTAACTGACAAAGGAAACAATCGCATTGTCGTCATTGGTAAAGATGGTGTACTGCGACGGGAATTTACTTTTAGGCTTAGGGACATGGTTCACGACTTCGACCCGTTTGGAATAACAATTTCCCAAAAGGGTGTTGTGCACATGACAGATATGCGTAATCACGAAGTATTCTTGTCTGATACGAATGGTAACTTACTTAAAAGATTCGGCAAATCCAGATTGAAGAAACCAAATGGAATTGCATTAAAGGACAATGGTGACATACTTGTTGTGGACTATGGTAATCACCGTATCTGTGTGTTTGACCAAACGGGTGTATTTAAAAGATATTATGGAGGCCAAGGTAAGGATTTTGGTCAATTTTTTCACCCGTGGTTTATTGATATGCAGAGCAACAACAGCTGGGTCGTGACAGATTGTAAAAATTTCCGTTTTCAAATTATCCTCCCCAATGGAAATGCAAGGCCTGTGCCTGTGACTGTATACGATAAGGGAGCATTGGTTAGAGGTGTGACAGTTGACCCTAATGACAACATCATAGTTAGTGTACAAGCAAAGACATATGGCAGGTATTATCATGTGCTGATGTACAATTCAGACGGTGTATTTCGTGGATGCATTTCAAAGGAAAATGTTCTTTTGCGACCACGTGGGATGTGTGTTACTAAGATAGCAACTGATGAACAAGTTCTTCTAGTTGCTGATGAAACTGGAGTTTTGCAGTTTCGTTTGATCTGAAGATATTTCAATGCATAATTATTTAATTATTGCTATTGTTTTGTTAAAGTGACAGGCAGTCCTTATACAATATATACAGTATATATTATTGTTATAACTTTATTAAGACTATATAATTTAAACACATCTTAGATGTTTATAATCTTTTTATTGTAGTTTCTGTATATACCGTCAGTTATTCTATCTCATTTCTAGCAGCCAATTTTGTTTCATACCGTTTTTTATTGCATGAAACACAATTAAAAAAAAAGAAATTGAAACTTATTACTCATCGGTTTTGTGGAAATTAATTAAAGTTCACCTCAGTTCATTTCATTTAACAGGCACGCCAACTACCGTGTATTGCCAGATAACAAATGGCTGAATAGCGCCATGTCCGATAAGAGTAATTTTGGCCTAGTTGTGCAGTATACATGTGCTCCTATATGAGCCTATTTTGTTTTTCAAACATATTGACCTTATTTCATTGCCGATTTCTTTAAAAAATATTGTCATCGAAAGGTGCCTGCTTTAATGCACTATATTCCTATTTCATTCTACTAATATAAGATAAGATAAAATAAAACAAAATTTAGAATAAAAAAGCAACAATGAAAACGTTAAATATGTATGAAAAATTTAAAAAAAATAATGTGGAATAGCAATTGCAAACACACAATATTAAATTTTTGCGGATTACATGCTCAAAATGTTCTCTTTTTTTCCCCTTATTTTTACACATTAAATTTTTGTCAAACATACACAGTTATTATTGTACAGCAGTATATTACTGTATTGTATTATAAAGGGTATTATAAAGGGTATAGAGTCACTGTAAATAAGGTACAGATAAGACTTTTTGGTCTTTTTGGGTTTTCTTTCTATAAAAAAAAAATTAAAATCTTATTTGACATTTTATCTCAGCGTCAATTTGTTCTTACTTAGTTTTCAGCCCCAACGTAAAATGCGTTCTTAGGCCTATATAAAAAAAAGTGTAGATAAATAAATGATATTTAACATATAATAATAATAAATAATACATAATAATTACCGGTAACATATAAAATAATATAATTGGTGAAGATTTTAAAAATTATTATTGGCTATGTAGATAGAGTTATGCCTTAGTCTTCCGAATTTTGTTGTGACGTAGATTCTATTCAGTAGAGTTCCTAGCATTTTAGTTGCATTCTTCAAGTTTAAACTTGTTTCCTATCATTTTTCTAGCATAATTCACATTTCCCAAGCTTATCCTTGTTAAATTCACTTAAGACATTACATCTAGTTCTAGTTAAAATAAGTTTAATGATATTAATTGTTTAAATCTCTTTATACTTGTATAGTTTTTTAGTGCTTAACCAAATTAATTTTAATTTCTGTTTTACTAAGGTTTTAGGAAAAATATTATGATATTGATTTTAATTGCAATAATAATATTTTATATATAATTTTTGAGTGCTTTGCGAATAATATTTTTCTTATTTCTGTTGCATTTCTTGCTTGGTACTGGAGAGCTCCCAGACAGATGGGCACTTCCCTCTTTTGAGCAAACCAATCAGGTACTGCTGAGTTGTTTTGGTTTGGTTTTTTTTTTGTATTTTTATGTTCGTAAATAGAAATGGTGAAATAAATTATATGATATGATATGTGACACGTTCGTTCGTTCGTTCTTTCCTAGGTAAAATAATACCTAGAACATTTATTAAGCATATAGGCCATTGGCCCAAATACAATATAAACGAAATTCTAAAGTAATCAGCTTCTATGTGTGAGTAGTTCAAGTGGACTTGACAAGGCTATAATATATATTTTGATTTTTAGAGGACATTAATAAAGTAAATTTTTCTATTGAAGGAAAGTTAACATAACACACACAGACATACATGAGGACACTATAAAACACTGATGAAAAATAACAATACATCATTGTGAATGTATTTACGTAACAAGCAGCCTACACCTGTTAAGTATTTGTGCCTAGATATTTAATATCATTTACAATCTCAATACTTCTGTTACTAATAAGTTACAATAAGTGAATCTTCCTTTTTCTTGAAATCGAAAAGAAGTTTACCATCAATTAGAAGAATTGGCCTATCATTAAACCATCTTTCAACTTTACGAATAGCATCCACTTCGAACTTTATGTAGTTGAAATGTATTATTTATACACCAGTGTAAAAATTCAAAACATAATTTTTACAGAGGTATGAAATTTCTTACAATATGAATCAAAGGGCATTAAGGCTGTCTCTTATACACATCTAGATGTGTATAAGAGACAGGTATACATGTGCTCCTATTAATGGTGTGTAAGGTGCTAGTTAACTACAGAAGAATACTGTTAATTTGGTTCTGAACAAATTTTATTGTTTTCTATGGTGAATTTTCTCCGGTGGTACAGATAGAAAATATAGCGAGAAATAATACAATCAATGCGGACGTAGGATAAGTGACCAAGAGTGTAAACGAGTAGCGTAAGTGCTGCCAGAAAGAATAGAGGGTGTAAACAGTATCAAATCAAAAAAGAAAAGCCATCGAATGAGTCATGCAAACTTACAGATAGGAACCTATGCAGTAGGCCTATGCGGTAATAAATAAGGCGAAAAATACATAAATAATATAATATTGTTTTCCTTATTTATTACAGTATACAGGTCTTTTTATGTGCTTTCAATCTACCCACTGCACACAGAGACTTTTTAAGGGTTTCCAATGGGGAAAATCTAATTTTGTTTAATAACCTATTTGATTACTAAAAATAACAAAATGCTATTACCTCCTTTGCCCTCAATTTAATCGTATTTAGTATTCCGCTACAATGTAAAATGTGTTCATAGACCTATTTAAAAAAAAGTACAAATAAATAAATGATATTTAACATAGGCCTATAATAATAATAATAAATAATAAATATTTAACATAAAAAATAATACAGTTTGAGAAGTTTTTATTGACTAAACAGATAAGACTTTTTGGTTTCTTTCTATTAAAGATGTATTGTCCCATGCTAAATACCAAACAAATCATAAAAATATTTTTTTAAATTAACTTGCCCATTTTGAAGTAACATAAAAGTTATTAACGTGAACATCGAAATTAGTGTGGGCCTATTTAAAGAATGTCTACCCATCAGTTTACAGCGCAAAATGATAGAAAATCTTCCAGACACTGGAAGTGTTTTATTATTTTTATTATACTTTTTTGGTTTAAAAATCAGGGTACAAATTTTTTAAATTTCAAAAATTGATATGCTATGCTATGCTATTGACATTAGCATGGGACAATACATTTTTAAAAAATAAAAAACCTCATTTGGCATTTTATCTCAGCCTGTTTCCTATTATTTTTCTAGCATAATCCACATTTTTGCAAGCTTATCCTTGTTATATTCACTTAGACATACATCTAGTTTTAATCAAAATAATTTTAATGATTTTAATTGTTTGCATTTTTTAAAAGTTTATATAGATTTTTAGTGCTTTGCAAAATTAATTTTGACGTTTCTGTTTTACTAGGATAAGCTGGCAATATTGTTAATGTTTTTATTGAAAGAGCACTCGCTTTGCTTCCTACAAATTTTATTCTAGCCTTAATTAACTTTTAGGAAAAATATTATGATATTGAGTTTAATTGCAATAATAGTATTTTATATATAATTTTAAGTGCTTTGCAAATAATTTGCATTCCTTGGTTGGTACTGGAGAGCTCCCAGGGAGATGGGCAATCCTACCAGGTACTGATTCTGATTTTGAGTTTAATTGCAATAATAGTATTTTATATATAATTTTTAAGTGCTTTGCAAATAATATGATGAGGGGATACAATTTTCGAAATCACATTGTGGTCAAATGTCCTGTTCATATGCAAATTAGCTTAAACATGCAAAAAAAAATAGGGGCCAGACCCTTTCTTATTTGATGTGCTACATTTAACCGTATGCTAGGCCACCTGAATAGGCCTATATTGAAAATAAGAGTTTTTATAAATGAACAAATGTGATGAAGGATAAAATTGCAGAAATCACACTGTGGTCAAATATCATGTTCACATGTAATGTAGCTTAAATATGCAAAAAAAAAGTAGTTGTTGCACCCCTTTTTAAATAAAGCACTACTTTAACGGTAGGCTATACAATCTGAACATATTGCAAACAAGGTTTTTCTTTTATAAATGAACATATGGGAGGAAGGGATAAAATTGCAGAAATCACACCATGGTCACATATCCTTACCATATGCTTATTAGTTTAAATATGCAAAAATATGGTCACGCCGCTTTTTTAATTCGAAACGCCATTTTAAACAGTAGGCAGACAATCTGAACATACACAAACAATGGTTCTTCTTTTATAAATGAACACAAGATGAGTAGGTAAAACACCGTTGTCACACGCCTTGTTTCATATGCAAGTTACCTTAAATATTTCAACATACACCTCTTTAAATACTTTAAACACCAGGCAAGATAATCTCAACATTTTGCAAACAAGAGGGTTTTTATTTTATAAATAAACAATGATGAAATTCCAACACCTTCGTCACATGCAAATTAGCTTAACTATGCAAAAAATATGGGTCACGCCCCTTTTTTTTTAATTTTTGAAGTGCTACCTTAAAGAGTGAGCTAGACAATTTGAATGGGACTTGTGATTAAGGTGACATTTCTGAAATGTGATCCCCTCATCATATGTGTTTTTTTTTAATAAAAGAAACAAGTAATAAATGAGATTGATGGTAAAGGTATGTATTGTAACATAGAAACAGAGCCCATGGATATTGATCTAATGAATGCACAAATTACGGTTGATGAAGTCAATGAAAGTATATTGGCTTTGAGAGAAAACGCGTCACCTAGTATTGATGGAATTCCAACCGCCTTTTTAAAGCTATGTGGTAACCTTTTTTTTACTTTAACTACAATATTAAATATAGTTCTAAATACGGGAAATATAGACTACCTTCAACTTGGACAAGTTCTGTCATAATTCCATTATTTAAATCGGGGGATAGAAACCTGCCACAAAACTACCGTAGTATATCTCTAATTACAGCAACTTGCAAAATATTTACGAGAGTACCCTATAATCGTCTTCTGAAATGGGGATCAACAAATAATTTACTTAGGGAAGAACAGGCAGGGCTTAGAAAAGGGTACTCTACTACTGATAAGATTTTTATTCTTCATACTTTAATTAGAAATATCTTTACAAAAGTAGGAAAAGATTTTATTGTGCCTTCATAAATTTCGTAAAGGCTTTCGATAAAATAAATAGACCAATATTGTTTAATAAACTTAAACAGAGTGGGTTGAACGGGAAAATATTTAATATTTTAAAATCATACTATGAAAATGTAAAAAGTTTGTGTCCGTACAAAAAGTGGCATTACACATTTCTTTAATTGTAAAAATGGTTTAAAACAAGGATGCATTCTTTCACCATTCTTATTTTCTCTGTTCATTAATGATTTACATAATGAATTTAAAAATAATTATGAGTTCGATGGTTGCGGATTAGGAATGATTAACCTTATACACATTTATTTGCAGATGATCTTGTGCTAATGGCAGAGTCCCAATTAAAATTACAGAAATTAATT